GATGCATTTGGTTTCTCAACGAAATTTTAACAGGAAGACAGATACTCAGCTGAAAGAGGATCCAGGGCCAATGGCTGCGTAAGCGGCCCTAGTAGATACCCAAAGCCTCATTAGACCGTGTTCTTCACCTCTCAAGAGGACAACTGACTGGCTTTCTTGGTTCCGTGGTGAGAGGAAACCCAGGTTTGCAGACCGTCCTCAAGAGCCGAATTTCCTGGTCTGTCCTTGTCCACTGACCTGCAGAGCTGGGAGAAGGCCAGGCTCCTATAGCCACTGAGTGCTGACCCCCCACGAAACAAGGCTCTGGCCAGAACACCACACTGTCTCCTCTTGATAGGTTTGTTTCCAAGGCTGGGAGGGTGGGTGGTTCCATTCAATTTGGTTTGTCCTACTCAATATTTCCCACACAGCTTTTGTGAAATGGTAGCTGATAGAACAGAAATTTTAAGAGGGTTTCATGATCAAATAAGCTTGGGAAAGATGGCATATTTCTTGAAGCTAGGAAGAGAAAAAACACTTTCAACCGTGTTTCATCCAGCTTCCATGATTATTTTGACTGAATCTTCTTCCCCTCCCCCCCGCACACATGAGTGCCCACACACACACTCTCTCTGCTATAATACCTGTTAATGTCGTTGAACATAGTTTGAAAACATTGCTGTAAATTGCAAAGATTGAATTTCTTTTTTTTTTTTAAAGATTTTATTTATTTATTTGAGAGAGAGAGAATGAGAGACAGAGAGCACGAGAGGGAAGAGGGCAGAGGGAGAAGCAGACCCCCTGCCGAGCAGGGAGCCCGATGTGGGACTTGATCCCGGGACTCCAGGATCATGACCTGAGCCGAAGGCAGTTGCTTAACCAACTGAGCCACCCAGGCGCCCCCAAAGATTGAATTTCTTAATCACCGTACCAGATCTGTAAATTCTGCGTGCTCCTCCTGGTCATAGCAATAACAGCACCGAGAAGGTGCTCATTCATCTGTTGACGCTGCTTGTTCACAGCTCTTTTGGACACAGTTCTCGAGCCACTGCCCAGCCTGTTTGCAGCCTCGGGATCAGAGGCCAGCCATACTCTGCGGTTGGCTTCAGCTGGAAACAAGGTCACTGGGAACAAGGTGTCTCCTTCACTCCTTGACTCTGCCCAATTTCAAACCTGGAGAAGAAGGTGGGTGAGCAAGCTGGACCTCCATCCCTCCCTCTGTCCTTCCTGACCACTTTCGCTCTGGCCAGACCGACTTCACTGAAAACGCAGTATCAAAGTTTCCTCCCATGGCATCAGTCAGAGTCTGCCAAACCGCAGCATTTCCACCGAAATAAGCTCTGTATGCCTCCTTAAATGATAAACTGTGCACCAACATACTAACATTGTCAAAGAAACAAGTCAAAATTGCCTGAACTTGGAATTTTTGATTAGCACATTGTTATAGGACTTTGGGATATCAACATCTCCCCCATGAGGCTTTGACTTTGTTACCCTTTCCCCCTAGGTCATAAGGAAACATCATGCCTCACTATCGGTTTTGATATTCTCAAAAGCTATCTTATTTTCTTTCTTTGAAATTTCAGAAAGATGCCAAACATGCACTTTCTGGGTATCTTAGCGAACTGCGAGGCACTTTCTTCACGTCATCTTTGTTTTCACAGAATGTGAAAGTTCTAGAAACTAAGATTTTTCTTAACTATTTTTCTTGCAAGTTACCATGTGTTGGAGGGAACCCAGCCTCTGACCACTGGGGATATGGGGGAGTTACTGGTGGCCATCGCAGGTATCTGATCCAAACTCCTTAAGCTTCTCAGGCCAGTAAGACCCCTGCTAATCATATTAACACCAGCGCTTCACGCTTTTGCATGTCCAAATTCATCTAACTGTAGACAACTTGACATTTGCTTTTTCTAAAGAATGTTCCTGGTTTAGGCCAACAGGATTCACTGCACCTCCAGCCCTAGGGCAGAGTAGCCCTCAAGAGTATTGGTGGTGAACTGCCAACATTTTGAACATGTCTCTAAAAGGGAGAAGTAGGCAGGTAATGTCTGGAGAGACAGACTGCACAGGGAGGCCCGGGTCTATTTTTGCAGGGGGAGCAGAGAGGTGGGTATCTGGTGAGACTGTCTGATGTGCGGGAAGGCACAGACCAAACGGCTGGCCATAGGATGTGGAATCTTTTATGGGTAAGCTCCTCTTGATGGCCATCCCCCCTGCCCACCTGCTAATGCGTTTCTGATCATCAATTTTTAGAAAAGAAAACCGTATTTCATGGCAGAGGACAAACCTCCGGGGCCCATCCTGAAGCCGCTGGTGTTTCGCGTAGATGACAGCACACCCAAAATGGTGCAGAGTGTCCTGCTGGAGCGTGGGTGGGACAAGTTCGATGAAGGAGAGCAGAACGTGGAAGACTGGAACCTGTACTGGAGGACCTCCTCCTTCCGGATGACCGAGCACGTCAACATCAAGCCGTGGCAACACCTCAACCACCACCCGGGCACCACCGAGCTCACCAGGAAGGACCATCTGGCCAAACACCTGAAGCACATGAAGAAGATGTATGGCACGCCCCTGTACGAGTTCATCCCCCTGACGTTCATCATGCCCAAGGACTACAACAAGTTCGTGGCCGAATATTTTAGGGAGAAGCACGTGCTGGGCGCCAAGCACAGCTACTGGATTTGTAAGCCTGCCGAACTCTCTCGCGGGAGGGGCATCATCATTTTCAGTGACATTAAAGACTTAATCTTTGATGATACATACGTAGTACAGAAATATATCTGCAACCCTCTCCTTGTGGGCAGATATAAATGTGACCTCCGCATCTACGTTTGTGTCACCGGCTTTAAGCCTTTGACCATTTATATTTACCAAGAAGGGCTAGTGCGGTTTGCCACGGAGAAGTTTGACCTCAGTAATCTGCAGAACAATTATGCCCATTTGACCAACAGCAGCATCAATAAATCTGGGCTCTCATATGAGAAAATCAAAGAAGTGATTGGTCACGGCTGCAAGTGGACCCTCAGCAGATTCTTCTCCTACCTTCGCAGTTGGGATGTGGATGACCTGCTTTTGTGGCGGAAAATCAACCACATGGTTATTCTCACGGTGCTCGCCATCGCTCCCTCGGTCCCCTTCGCAGCAAACTGCTTTGAGCTCTTTGGGTTTGACATTTTGATTGATGACAACTTGAAACCGTGGCTTCTGGAGGTCAACTTCAGCCCCGCCCTGTCCGTAGATTGTTCGGCGGACGTATCAGTGAAGAGGAAGCTTATCCATGACACCATTGAGCTGATTTACTCGCAGGGTCTAAGAAACGAGAGGATGGAATGTCGTGACGGTGCTAAGGGGAGCCGCAGTGTCTCCCTCGCCAAGCTGGACATGGGTAGACTCAACAAGGCTTGTAGCGCTCTGTCCTGTGAGTCCCTCTTACAGCTCACAGGTAGGACATTTAAGGATGAATCTGCTGTGAAGAAAGCCATAAAAATATGTCCTGAAAATAAACATGCCTCCCAGCCGAGGGAAATGACGAGCAGGAAGAAGGACCTACTTCTGTCAACAAAAGAACCCCCCAAAACCAAGCCAAAGCTAAAGGGTAGACACTCGACCCATAAGACGCTCATTCCATTCATGTCACTCATTCAATCGTGCGTGGGCAAGACCAGCATCTCCCCGTGCCTCCCCTCGGACAACAGCAAGGTGCCGGATCTCCAAGCAGGGAACTTTGTGCTCATTTTTCCTTTCAATGAAGCTACTTTTGGAGCTTCTAGGAATGGATTAAATGTCCGAAGAATAATCCAAGAGCTCCAGAAGCTAATGAATAAGCAACATCCCCACATGGCAGAAAAGGAAGCAAAAAGAAGGTAAAAGAGTTTTGGGGAAACCAGGGATTCCGTCACCAGGGACAGCAACGGCTCAGCCCTTGACCTCTGCATTCAGCACATCGACCACGTCACTGGGACCCCTGATGTGGGTGCGTATGTAAATATAACTACTCTGCAAATTTGGACACATTCACGCGGTGATTAAATTATATGATATGAGTTGTTTATTTGCTCTGATTTCTTGGGAGAATGCCACCCAGCCTCTTGCCTGCACTTGGAAATGCTTTATTACAATTATACAGTGCACTTATTTAAACATGAAAAGAAAAGACTACTAGAACATTTTTAAGGACTCTTATGTGAGAACAACACAAAAAAAGACCAAGGGTTAACTTTTTTGTTTTTTAACACACCATTTTTTTTTCAAAATTATTTTTGTCAACTTAATGATTGAACAGTCATCCAGGGTGAAGCCAATTGCTGAAAACCTCCCCCCAGAATACCCAAATGACTTTATCAGTCCTAGGTCCTGGGCCCTAACTCAGACACTGTGCCACATAGCTTCCCACTGGGGACATCCATCAACCATATTCAAAAGGTGGCCCCCTCTGGGTTGGTCCCCTCACTGATAGGTTACCATCCCAGCATGTGACCTCAGAACCTTCCAGATGCAGCCATTTTACCATTCCTGCCTCCTAAGAAAGCACTGACGAGTCCTAAGACACAAAGTCTCCAGCATTTACTTGAAAACATTACGCTGAGTGAAAAAAAGCCAGACACAAGAGGCCACATGTTGCAGGATTCCATGCCGACGTCTGGAGTCAGCAAATCCATAGACACAGAACGCAGATTGGTATTTGCAGGGTCCAGGGTGGGGGACTGGAGAGCAACTGCGAGTGGGTAGGGGGTTTCCTTTTGGAAGACAAGAATGTTCCGGTGGTGGTTGCACATCACCATGAATGAATGTGCCAAATGTCACTAATGGGAAATTTCATGTTATGCTTCTTTTCCCACAATGAAAAAGTTAAAGCCCAAGTTAAGACAGGCAGGACGAAACATAGACTGGGGACGCAGGAAGCACAGCGGGTGATGCGGCCATAGAAAGAGAACACAGGAAGTGATTGCTCTCAGTACTGGCATATGATTACGTACTGCGATTGCACCTGCAGGTGCCCCTCAATGGCTAACGAAATTCTAGTGCTTGATCTGAATGGTTCAGAAAGAAAGGGGGAGAGAAAAAATCCAGCACTCTCAACACGAGGCTGTAATGCCTATTTTGTTCATTGCCTGGTTTCATGCATAAGTCCATTTATTTGCTCCCAGTCTTGTTCCAGGAAAGATTTAAAGGAGTCGAGTGGGAATGTAAGTGCATCAAGATTGTTCTGATCTTTTATATCAGTTTTCCACTTTATAGTATTTGGCAAATGAAGAAAAGGTTCTTTTCCACAAACGTTGAGGTGCGCTCTAAGACCAAATCATGAGGCTGGCATTGCTGGAAAACCAGAGATTAGCTCTCATTCTCTCCGTGTCTTCAAATACTCACTCCTTCATCATGAGCCAGGTTTTAATGACTCAGCTGGGAGGATGAATGTTGCAGAGAGGAGTGAAGCGTGTGCTATTAAGGATAGATGATTTTATTGGAGCATTTGAAGTTTTACGGCAATAGCCTTGGGCCGTCTGTCAGGAAAAACATGCAAAGTCTGGGCAGTATATCTCTCAAATGGCAAAATGTGGGCCAATTAAACAAAAACCATAGTGGAGTAAGATAAACCTCAAACGCACCAGGAAACTGTGCGTAGAATTTGCACGCAGGTGCACAGTTGTGTAAGGGACATGGAGGGAAAACATGAATGCAGTCTTGCTGAGGTAGGAAGGTCAAAACTACAGAGTCCAGAGAATTCTCCGGGAGATGTGGTAGTTCTTCAAAAAAATCCTTGGACTTTCACTTCTGGGAAAATGGAATAGGCACACATTTCCTCATACCTTCACTCAGTACAACTGAACACGTTGGCGCGTACAAATAGACAAGCGTGAGGAGTCACAGAGGGGAGAAAGAAGGCAGCACCACTAGGGACCCCAAGAAAAAATAGGGTGTTGGGTTTCCTGGCTTTGAGGATTTGGGGGTGGGGTTTGCCTCATACTCCAAACTGGGCGCTAAAGTAGCTGACAATGCAAGTGGACCCAAAGAACCAAGACTCCTCTCCAAGTCGAGGACCAGCAGAGGAGCAGCTCAAGGAGAATGTAAGTAAAGGAGCCTGGGACGTGAATGGGATCACTGACTCTGGGAAATCTCCCAGGGAGCTGGAAGCGCCTTGCAGTTGAAGGGGAAGGTTCTTACTTCATTTCCAAACTGCATTCTATCTCCCCTGGACTCGAGGTTGGAAGAAACCAACAGCAGGGGACACAGGAAGTCACGCTGAGAACCTCCTGGAAGGAATGGGGCAACTAGAAGTGTGCTCACTGACACTGAGGTCACACCGGGCTGGAAAGCAGCGGGGGTAGTGTGGCCCCCACCCGCCAAGCCTGCCCCCGAGTGGGCGGAGCCTGAGCAGGAAGTGGTGGGACAGCCCGGAAGACAGGTGGCAGGTGCACAGTGGCCGGCCAGCATGAGGCAGACCCCCGGCAGGGCTCAGAGCCGTGCCGCCGACGCCACCTCGGGGGCATGCAGGGGCTCCGGTGGGCATGGGCAGAAGGAGGGCAGCGCCCCGCGTGGTCTCTCCAAACCTGACCTTCGAGACTCTTCCCGTCTGCTGAGCAGACTCCCCGTGGAGGAGGCTCGTCCAGGGCGTCTCCACTCCTCTGCAGGGTGGACCCTGTCAGGAAGGGACGGTGGGAGGTTAGCCACATCCCCGCATCCTCAGCATCCTGAGATACTGATGTCCCCAAGCAGGCCACCGTCTGAAATCACTGTCCGTTACCATCTCCCCGAGGGTTAGCTTCCCAGGGGACGAGGCAGGGGGACGAGGCAGCAGACAGGCCAGCTGAGGGATAAAGGAGGGTCGCTGGCCCGGGCAGGAAGGGACGGGGCCCGTGCGCTCCCTGCTGGACTCTGCCCTCCGCTGGCTCGGCTCACCTCGGAGTTGGCTCAGTCCTCCTCGGCTACATTCTGCTTTCCTTTTTGTCTCTTTTAGGTTCAGTCTGACATCTCGTTTTAGGGTCAGAGGGCAAAGAAATACCTTCTCTCTCTTTCCTTCTGTGAAAAAGACCCTGACCCACGTCGTCCAGTGGGGGGGTGACAGGGCAAGCCTAGGTCACATGGGTCCCCCTTATCCCAGGGAATGGGGGGTCGGGGGCACCCCTGGGGACCCCCCAGAGCCCCTGGAGAGCAGGAGGAAGACTTCCCTTGAGGAAAGCGTGGAGGTACAGTTCTCGGAAGAAGGGGTGCTCGGCAGACACAGGCAGCGTTCGCCTGTGAAAATGGAAGGGTGGTCAGATGGGGAGATGCAGGGAAACTGAGGCCTGGAGTAGTCCCCGAGGCCTCAATGCGCCCTGAGGCCGCAGGTGAACACCAGATGTTGGGTAGCATCTGCTGCAGGAGAAAGTTACAGAAGCGTCGGCGTAGGATTCCACCCTTGGTCAGGACCGGACAGAACACAGACAAGCAGCGGCTTTCGGCACCAGCAAGGGCCACACAAGAGGTCTGGCCTCCTGGAACTTCCTAGACCCTCCTAGCTCGTGTGCTCCCCACCATGTTCACCCACAGCCGCTCCCGGAGGACGGCCCTGGGCTTCAGGAGGAGGAGGAGCCCAGCACACCCCCAACCCCGGGAGTGTGAGTGTGTGGGGAGCTCGGAGCCGGGAGAACTGCCGTGCAGAACAGAGCAGTGCCTTAACTGGGGTGAATGGGCATTCCGGAGACCCTTGTAGTCACCCCCCTTCCCACTTCTGAGCTGGCAAACTGGGAGCAATCTGGCGGTGAGGGTCCTGGGCAGTGGGGCTGGCCGTGGGGCCCCCGGCTCTGTGGCGCTGCCGCCTTGCAAAAACACGGAAGGGCTCCGAAGCCTAAACAAGCAGACTGAGCCTGTGTTAACAAGCGAAGACACCAGAGCTTTCCGGGGGCCGGCAGGAAGAGGTCAGCAGGCTAGCTTGTACGGCGGGAAAGAACACAAGTGTCACGAAGAGGGTGCGCCCCCTTCCTCCTCTCCGGGGCGGCTTCCCAAAATAAAGGACACAATTCATTTAAGTTCTAAAATAACTAAAATATTATTTTCATTAAAAAACTGATTTGGGGTTGGTTTTAGTGAATATTCTATCATTAGATCTGCACTTACTACAAAACCTGGACACCTTCAAGGCTGATGGGGACTTTTTTCAGGTTTGTAGAGATGTTTCTGTTTTATTTTATTTTTCCAAGCATTTTTACATAGGTCTCTGCTGATTGGCCTCTGGGAAGCAGACCCAGGCCCCCGTGCTCCTGGGCTGGGGCTCTCGGGCCACACGAGGCCGCCTCCCTCAGCCGGTGGCTGTGACCCGACATTCCTGCTAGAAGTTTCAGTATCTATCTTGCCCTTAATTTAACCAAATGCCTCGTCAGTTCTTCTTTAAAAAAAAAAAAAATCCATATATCCAAACAAAATAAAGGAAATAAATATGCTGGATTGCTGGATTGGTGCTCTGCAGATTATGCTTTTCTCATTTTCAAGATCTGGAAACACGCACATACTAGCAGACTGTGTGGTTTGGGAGGGGATTTGCAAGATGACTGATGTGCTTTGTGATGTCAAGGAAAGTCTCTCAGGAAAGAGAGTATTTTTGTTCCTGAGAACCCTGGAGAGAAATAAGTCAAGCAGAGAAAGACAATTATGTGGTTTCACTCATACGTGGAACATAAGCAACAGCACAGAGGATCACAGGGGAAGGGAAGGAAAACTGGATGGGAAGAAATCAGAGAGGGAGACAAACCATGAGAGACTCTTAACTCTAGGAACCAAACTGAGGGTCACTGGAGAGGAGGGGGTGGGGGATGGGGCAACTGGGGGATGGGCATTAAGGAGGGCACATGTGATGAGCACTGGGTGTTCTATGCAGCTGATGAATCACTGACCTCTACCTCTGAAACTAATGATGTACTGTATGTTGGCTAACTGAATTCAAATAAAATAAAACAAAGATTGTATAAACAACAAAAAGAAGAACCCTGGAGCACATCCCATGGAGAAAGTCGCTGGCGAGAGGAGACAGGTTTGGGGCGATGGGCCCATGCAGGGGTACAAGTGGCCAAGGGTCAGTGAAGCCCAGGTGCGGGTGAGCGTGCGGAAGGCTGAGGGGTGTTTCAGCAGTGCTGGGGTGTCACTAGGAGGTAGTGGGCTCTGGGCAGGAAATCCAGCTGCTGGGAGGGCAGCATCCAGCAGCAAATCTGTCACTGCGCACACGGAGCCGTCAGCAGAAACCTAGCTGCTAAGGGACAGGGAAGCCACGGAGCTTCTCACTACACATAGGGGACCACCAAGCGAGTGACAGAGCTAAGGGCATTTTTAGTCTCATAGATTCACCACACTTTATCAGAAACTTGTGTAGGAATCCGGACAGTGAGGACGTCATGTGCCTTTCACGCGGAGAGAATATTGTTGAATTGTATTCTTCCATCGAGCATTTTGCTGTAGGCAGCGTTGCCCCCCGAAGACGTCTACGTCCCAATCCTGGGGCCCGTGAAGATGTCACCTCACAGCAAAGGGCTGGTAATGGAAGCATAGTCAGAGAGATGTGACGAATCTGCACCACTGGCTCTGGAGGTGGAGGAGGGGCGCACGGGCCAAGGACCGGCGGGCTGTAGAAGCTGGCGGAAGGAAGGGAGCGGGTTCTCCCCGAGAGCCCCCAGCTGGGACGCAGCCCTGCCAACCCATCTCAGAATTCTGACTTCCAGAACTAGAAGCCGTTGCTGGTAGAGATTTGTTTCAGCAGCAACAGGAGACTGAGTTCGAGTTCTAAATAAGAAAACACAGACTAAAGAAGAAGAAGGTAGCGGGAGGGGAAGAATGAAGCGGGGGAAATCGGAGGGGTAGACGAACCATGAGAGACGATGGACTCTGAAAAACAAACTGAGG